GGGGGGGCCTCTCTCGCGGTCCTCCCGGCTCCCCTCACCCTCTCTCACCCCCTCGGCGGCCGCGGAGCCGAGGGGAGGGCGGGAAAGACCTCTCGAGGAGAGCGGGCGGGCGCGAACGCGGGCTCCGCCACCCGAGCCGCTCCGTTACCGCAGCGGCGACGACGACCAGGGCCGTGTTGTTGCTGCCAACTTGTCGAGAGGACACTGAGCATGCGCACGCGGAGACCACATCCGGGTAATTTCAGGGTTTGGCTCTTTCCCCCCCATCAGCTTTCCTTTCTCCCCGCTGCCCGCCTCCCGCCCCTAGTGACGGGAGGGTCGCTCTGCGCAGGCGTCCGCAGGGCAGCACCGGGTGGCGGACGGCTCCGGGGCCCGGCCTTAGACCCGGCCCGGGCGGAAGACGCTGCTGGGCCACGGTGGAGGGAAGCCTACTTGAGGGGGTGGTCATCAGAGAAATTGGCATCCGTTTGCAAAAAAATTACCCGAGCAGCTCGGGAGAGCTCCGCGTAGAGAGTGGGCGTCCAGTAAGTGTTTATAAATAGCGATCAGCCGGGCCTTTGGGGGGTTGTTTTGTTTTGGGGACCTGCATGGGCATAAAAATTAGACTGCAACAGCCAATCGCTAACTTTGGCGAAAAGGGGCCTGTAGCGGTTTGCTTTGGGAAGAAACTGGCGATGGCCGCACCGTCTCCCCCTTTTCACCAGTCTCCAATCACGAGCTCCAACGGTGTTTAAACTCGAGAGACAGTCAAGGAATCACACATTTAAGAGCTTTGCCAGCTGTTATGAAATGTGAGTGGTTCTCGTTGGAAGAGATTTAGGCGAAATCTAAGAGTTGGAAGGAACCTTCGAGTCCTGAGACACACCTGTTAACTAGGTTACCTGCTGGGTGGGGAAAGGCGTAAACTCTACTTTTGACTTTATACTTCTTTTATTTAATATTTTTACAAGAGGCATGTATTTCTTCATTTCATTCATTTAAAAAGCTTCAGAAAACACACACTAATTATATATTTTATATGTGTGTGTGTGTATTTACCAAGCAGGAAATGCTTTCTTTGGAGGGGGGGGTCCCCTCCAAAATTATTAGACAGTTCTAGAGTCATTTCGGACCATTTGAACAACTCGTCTCTCAGATGTAGTCAAATGAAGAATTTGTCTCTGGATATTTGTACCAAAACATACTAAAACCAAAAGCCAAAACGTCATATTAATTAACAGGAAATTGTTATGATGTATGCAGTAAAGGAGTTGAAAGCATTGTTTCCAAATCCATCTCGCCACATAAATTCGGCCAAATATGAGTCCGACGTATCGCTACGAATTCCTCTCATGGTCTTGCACTTTGCTTTCCATTCGTTCCAACAGGACTCGATGTTTAGGGTATGCAGCACAAGAGGTGACATGAAACGCAAGTTAGGATCACTGTGGTTAACCTGAGCATGTTGGAAACCAAAGAGAGGCTGAATGAATAGGCTGCAGTGTATCTTGAAATGGCCGTCTTATCCATTGGGAGAGGTGAAATGAAATGAAAATTTTCTCAAAAGTAAAACTAAAAAGAGTAAATTTGGATTTGACCCAGCAGAGTTGATCACAATTGAGGAATTTGACCTGCAAGGATAAACTGTTCAATTTATCAGTTGTTTCTTAGGTCCTGTCGCCCAGAAACTCTCTACACACACCCCACCACCACCACCATTCACACACAGTGCCCCATTCTGTCCTCCTTGCCATCACAGCCTGGGCTCTTCCCTCTTCTACCAACAAGTCCCTAAAGCTTCAAACTGGTGTTCCCTTATCCCTGGGGTTTAAGAAGACTTTTCAAGACTAGTGTTAAGAGAATTCATTTCTGGATCTTTCACTGCCATTTGTACTATTTTCTAAAATTGCTCAGCTTAAGAAGGCAGCTGAGGACACAGCATCCTCTTTCAAAACTGTTCTGTCACCTTACAGAAGAAAGTCAAAATTCCCACCCACTACTAAAGTGAATTAGCCCAGTAGCCCCCAGGGCAATTCAAAGGGACAATTCAAAAATTGGTGGCTATGCTGAGAAAGTAAATGACCTTAATGAATGGGTATTAAATTATTTTGCAAGTAAAGTAGTTTACAATTATTTGCTGTCAACAAACTTGAAGGAAGATCTGTCAGCTGATAGATGACTGAAAATTATTTGATAATAGATCAACATATGATTCTTAGGTAATACACCTCAGAAGGAGTTTTAAAAATTTGAATAACATTGCTATAACTAAACTTCCTCCATTCTATCTGCAGTAGTTACCTATTGCGGTATAACAATATCACCACAAATTTAGAAGCTTAAAACAGCACACGTGTATTGTCTTACAGTTTCTATGGGTCAGTAGTCCAGGCACAGTTTAGTTGGGTCCACTGCAAAGGGAGGCTCAACTGGGGAAAAGGATCTGATTCCAAGCTCACATCATTGTTGACAGCATTCAGTTCCTTGCAGGCTGCAGGACTGAGGGCCTCAGTCCCTGGCTGGCTGTTGCCTGGAGGCCTTCTCAGTTCCTTGCCATGTATCCCTCTCCATAGGGAAGCACACAGTATGGCAGCTTGCCTCTTCAAAGCCAACAAAGAGGAGAGTCTCAGCAAGACACTGGTTACAATCTTATGTAACATAATCATATACACATAATCACACACATCCTGTCACCTTTGCCATACTCTGTTGGCCAGAAGCAAATCCTCCATCTACGCTATGCCAGCATCCATACATCTGAATGTGGCTAGAGAAAACTACAATCACAGTGACTAGTTTCACTTTAATTTCATCACCATGAATCTCAGGTGGACCCCTAGTGCTGCCCAGCAATCCTACTTCCCTCCTCCATTTTTCTAGATTTCATACCTTCTCTGTGCTCTAACCTACATGTCCTCCCCTCCATTCTCATTCTCAGTTAATCTCATTGCTTCCACTTTCACAGAAGCCCACCATCACATCTACCCATACCCACATACCAGCCTCTTCTCCATCTTCCCCACCTCTACACAGTTGAATTTCCATGCTCCTAGCTAAAGCCAGTCTCTCCACTAAGGCAATAGATCCCAGTCCCATCTTGCCTAACCGAGATCATCACCATTACTCCAGCAGTTATCATCCCCTATTTTATATTGTCAATGTTTGCCTGTCTACTGGTTCATACCCATAAGCTTACAGCAGCTGTTATTTCTCCAGTCCTGCAAGGTCTTCTCTTTGACCCATTTCCACTGTCAGCTACCACCCATTTCCCTGCTTCCTTTGCAACAAAACTAAAGCTTTTCTATACTTTGTCTCTAGTTATTCTCCTCCCCTTCTGCAACAGAATACATATCATAATAGTATTTACATAAAGTTCAAAAACATGTCAAACACTATATGTATGTTAAGACTACGTACATATGTAATAGAATCACAACGCACAAGAGGTTACATATGTGGCATGTTTTAGGTTATCAGCTGGGTGTAACTGTCCCACTCTCTTTTCAACTCACTCCATTTATGCTTTTATCCTCACCACTATATCAAAACTGCTGTTGTGAAGGTCAACAGTGAACTTCACATTGGCTAAATCCAATTGTCTAATCTCAAGTCTCATCTTGACTGACTTGTCTATAACAGCTGACACATCTAATCATTTGATTTACTTTTTTTCTTTTATGTCTTTTTATGAGACAGGTGCTATCCAGACCCTGAGAAACCAAGGAAGATATTAATAAAGCTGTGCTGATTCCACACTGAAGTAAATTAGAGTCCTGCAGGATCCTAAGATAATGTCAAGGACAAGAACAGAAGCCAGACGGAGCCTTGATGAGAATTTGCCCCTGGACCCTTACATGCAGTCCTCCACAGCTCACGTCTCCCCCTCCTCCTTAAAACTCCCTCAGTAAATTTGATTCTTTGATATGGTTTTAGTCTGGCCATTTTCCTTCAGGTTTACCAAGGAGGTGGGTTAGCCTAACATTTCCCTCAGGTTACCAGTATTCCTGAATAAAGCTGACTTCCTATTTCACAAACAATTTGACTTTTGGGTTTGTTTCTGTTTGGGTCGTAGGCAGCCAGGCTTAGGTTCAGTAATACTTCACCTCTCTCTCTCTCTCTCTCTCTCTCTCTCAACATTTATTTCTATGTATTTGTGGCATACACTGCTTTACTACATGCATATACTGCACAATGATTCACTTAGGGTAGATAGCATAGTTTTGTATCTCTCTCTCTCAACATTTATTTCTACGTATTTGTGGCATACGCTGCTTTACTACATGCATATACTGCACAATGATTCACTTAGGGTAGATAGCATAGTTTTGTACCCATTAGTCTGGACTTTTGTTTTTTATCTATAGTCATTTGGTGATTTCATCCAGTCTCCTGACTTTCAATACCATCTAAGATATATGATATCATCATATATGATGACAACTCCCAATTTATATCTCCAGCTCAGACCTCTTACCTGAATACCTGGATATATTCTGATATCTGGCAGTCTACTGCATATCTCAAACATGTCACAAACCACAGTATTCTCCCTCAAACCTGTTCAACCCACCAGCTTTCCTTTCTCAGTTGATGGCAACTAGCTCCATTCTTCAAGTTGATTAGACCAAAAACCCTAGAGTTCTGGACTGGACTTTCCTCTTTCTCTTATACCAGATCTAGTCCTGAGTCAGAGCATTCCTCACCACCTCCACTGCCACCCCCTGGTGTGAGCCACCATCATCTCATGCATGGATTCATCTTCTAAAAGCTCTCCCGGTTCTCATGCTTGCCTCTCCTCAACATAATAGCTAGAGTGAGCCTCTTAAAATGCAAATCAGATGTCACTCCTGGTCTGCTGAAATCCCTGCATTAACTGCTCCTCATTTCATTCAGAGTACAAGTCTACATCCTTACAAAAGTCATTTCATTCAGAGTACAACTCTACATCCTTACAAAAGTCTAAAGGATTCTATAAAATTGGCACCACTACCCCACCCTTGATCATTACTTCACTGATCTCATCTCCTATCATTCTCCTCCTGGATCACTCTGCTCCAGCCTTCCTGACCTCCTTTATTTATTTATTTATTTATTTATTGTTGTTGTTGTCGTTTTGTTTTTTGGTGACTGGGCCAGTACAGGGATTGAACCCTGGACCTTGTTGTTGTCAGCACCACACTCTAACCAACTGAGCTAACTGGCCAGCCCCTAACCTCCTTTGTTGACCCTAGAAGATGTCAGCCATGTTCCCAAGTTAGGGTTGGCTGTGTCCTCTGCCTGGTATACTTTCCCCCAGATACCTGCATTGCTAACTCCTTTACCTCCTTTGATCAGAAGTCACCTTCTCAAAAGCCCACCCTGACCTTTTAAAATCACAACCCATTCTTAACTCTCACACTGTGCTCTGAATCTCCCTTCCCCTGTTTTATCTTTCTAACATACTATGTGATTTACTTATGTGTTATGTTTATTGCTTATTGCCTACCCCCCCACATACACACACACCAGAATGTAAAATCCATGAGGGCAGGGATTTATTTGTAGTGTTTACTAAAGTATCCCAAGTGCTTAGAGCTATTGAAACATAGGAAGTACTCAATAAATATCTGCTGAATGAATGAACAAGGTATTTCATGCTTCTATCCATAGAAATAAAAACTAGGACCAGGATTGATTCTGAATCCTATTTCATTCCAGCAAAAATATTTTACACTTTAATTTTAACAGTATATCAAAATTTGTAATATTTTATACCATTTAAATCAATTAAGTATTAAAGTTATGTTAGCTATACAATGAATTGTATAATTATATATAATTATACAATAGAGATGAGTTTTTAAACATAAACGACTCAGAAATTTTTTTTAAAAATTTCTTGCAGGGAAATATGATAGACTGATTAATAAAAGACTTTTTAGCCTAAAATATATTAAAATGCTTGGGGGCAAGTGTAATGGAAATACAAAATAAGGGGGAAAAGAGTGATGTAAAATTTCTTTTGAAGAAAAGCTTGTTCATGTGTTTTTTAATGGGTGATAGGTGTATTATGATATTTAGGCTCCCCTGTATACATTGAAAGAATGATGTAACAAACTTATTTCAAAATGCCGATACTTTGGCTAGAAATAATAAACTTGCCATTATTTAAACTTATGATGAAACATTTTAGATATGACCTTTAAAGTACAAGAAGAAACACTGTCTTTCAAGTTTCTTTTAGTAGGAAAGCAAGCAAGCAATTTTGAAGACCACAGTCCCAGAGCTCTCAAGGGAGCTAAGCTACCACTTTTGCTGAGGCTTCTCCAGGTGAAACTTCTCAATTCCCACATCCATCTCTGACCTATGCAAAGGCTTGAAAGTTTTCTTTTCCTTTTGTTCTCTTTAATGGCTCCACCTCCTTTGAATAGAAGTTTTCCAAGGGTGATGAGAATACAGAGCTTTAACATTTTCATCCCAGGTGTGAGGAAAATAGAGTCGTTTAGTCAGGCCCCCTCACCTCAGGTCTGGTTGGGGGTGGTGCAGCACATTCCTTGTAAACAAGTTGTGTGTGGGTGGAGTTAGTGCACGTGCACACCCATGTATCTTTTTAGTTTGTTGCTAGTGTGTGTTCTTGAGTTTTGTGAAGCAGCACAGGCCGGCAGAGAGTTCATGTCTAAAAATAGAGCATGTATACTTTGCTGGCAGCTGCTCAGTTTTTCTTTGGACTTTGCTGGTAGCAGTAGAGTTTCTGAGTTTCTCTTTGGACTGCCTAATTCTTACTTGTGTGTGTGCTCAATAAAGACTATTCTTTCTTCAACCAAGGCTCCAAGGACCTTTTCTCCTGTTACCTAGCTCTTAGACCTGTGTGTTTGGGACACAGTCTGCACAATGGACTTGCGGGCTCTACACTTGGCAATTCATAACTAAAGACAAAATGTTTCATTATTTTAATTATACTAAGTTTCCATTTGTATTGTCAGGGAAAGGGCTCACACCCTTCAAACCCATCATACAGACTGGGTCACCAGA